CATTTTTTGAGAAATGTTTTTCAAATCCTTTGTTCATTTGTAAATTGAATTGTCTTTTTATTGTTAAAAGCTCTTTAAATATTTTGGATATAAGTCCCATTATACTTTTTAATTAGTGGTATATTTGTTGATATAATTACCATAGCTTTTTATACTATACTTCATTAATTGTGAAAGTATTTTCTAAAATACATTTTTAGGGATCTCAAATGTCACCTTAAATATAAATTGCATATTTTAAAATTTAAAAAGCAACCACTGCTTTTTCAAACAAATGAATTCCAAACCAAGGAGTGGGAAGTATGGGGACCCATAGGTTAAAAGATTAGAGATACATGCAATGTATGGACTGTCTTTGACTCCTAACTTGAACTGGAGAAAAAAAAGAGACAACTTAAATACTAACTAGATAATTACTAAGAACATGTTAACACTGATGGTATTATGGTTTATGTAAGAGTCTTTATCTTTTAGACATACATAGCAATTGCTAAGACTTACTTCAAAATAAATCCAATTGGGAAGATGGATGGCATGCAGATAAATCAAGACTAGCCATGAACTGATCATGTTGAAGTAGGTTCATTATACCATTCTACTTTTGTGTGTGTCTGAAATTTTCCATTTAAAAGTTATAAAGCACTACTGCAATGTCCACTGTGTGTAAGAAGAGAGGAAGCTGGCAGCAACTAAATACTACCAACTAAATTTTTATTAAGAATTCCCAGTCATCTCAGAGCAAGAGCTCTGGGAAACTTAATGAGGGTGTGACATATCCATGCAGTTATTTGTCAATGTGTAGGTAATACCACCAGTCACAGGCTAAGTAGCTGTATCAACCAACCATGATACACACAATAGCACAAAGCACCAGCCATCAGCACCACTCCTCACCTAGGCAGTTCATCTCACCAGAGTTCACTCCAGGACCAGAACTGCCACTGGAAGAGTATAACTACCCCCACTGGCTACAGAAAATACTACCTTCAGGTAAATACATGTCTATTATAATTTTATAGCCATCTCCCAGGCCACCTCATACTCACCCAAATTGCACATCCAATAGACACATGGAAGACAGCTGGATAGTTTTTAGAAAGTTAAACATAAATTTCCAACCAATATAATAATTACATTCCTAGGAATCTACCTAAGAGAAATGAAAACATACGTCCACACAAAGACATGTACATAAACATTCATACCATTCATAACAAAAATGTAAACAATCCAACGTCCACCAACTGGTGAATGGATAAACAAAATGTAGACTATGCATACGGTGGAACACTATATAAAGGAACTAAGTACAGGTATATACTACAGCATGGATGAACCTCAAAAATAGACCAACTGAAAGAAGCCAGATACAAAAGACATCAAATTGTATGAATTTCATTTTTATATAGTTTCTAGACAGGGAATATTTATAAAAACAGATCAGTGTGGATGCCTAGGGCTGGAGCTAGTAGCAGTAATTAACTGCAAAGGAGCATGAGGGGAACTTTTATGGCTGATGGAAATGTTCTAACACTAGTTTGTGGTGATGACTGTACAGTCTATAAATTTGTAATTAAATCGTATACTTACAGGGGGTGAATTTTATGGCATATAAATTATACTTCAATAAAGCTATATTTTTAAAGTACAGTACAACAAACTCTTAAGAATGACTATTTTAAAGCTCGGGCTGACAGCCTATTCATTGTAACTTCAGTACAACGAATATATTATCAGGATTAAGAATATTATTAGCATTTGTTTAAAAACAAAACATGCTATTTTTAAAGGATTCCAAGTACACACATCTCTAAACCTTACTGAGCAAAATATTACTTTTAGCTATGTGTAATGTTAACAAATCACTGTCTGCAGCTTACATTAGCCTTTTCTCTTAGCCACTGTGTTTTCTCCTAATCTTATGCCCCACAGTATTCCTTTTAGTGAAACATCCATTTGTTAGTGCCCAAGTTTTCCATTAGATACTAATTTTCTTAGAATATTTCATAATCTGAAATAAAATTTTAATATATATATTTTAAATATAAAATGAGCATTATCCTTTTTTAAAAAAATTTGGTCATTAAGCTACTCATATGCTGCCTCTGATAAGTTTCAAATTTTTTTATTATTTTAAATCAAGCTTTCTTTTCATTATTTCGGTTCAAATTATTTTTTGCTTTAAAATGATCTGATTCTTCTTTTCAGAGCAGTGCTGTCTTCTATGACCAGGCCAGCTTTAATTTCAGTTTGATTCCATCTCTTTCCAGTCCACTGAAAAACCTGTCAAAGAGGATTTCCCTCTAAGCCAGCCATTAAAAAAAATTTAACCAAACACTTTCCCCTCCCCCCAAAAAAATCTCATATGCAATGCCAAGTTCTACAAGGATTAAAGTAAAAAGCTACAGATGAAGTGGAAGAAGAGCCAGCCTGCTTGCTATGGCCCAACCTCAAGAAATACAGCAGCCTTAAGGTATGGCTTAAAAACCAATGTTCTAGGACAAGCAACATTGATTTTGCACAGCATAAATACAAAACAAATAAAACATACTTAAGCAAAACTCATAAGAAAAACTTGGATATATAAATTAAAATACACGTTTTATAATCTCAATTTTAAAAATAGATAATTATAATGATTTACAAAATAATATGCCTTTAAAATTCCATAAATAAAGACATTGCTTTCAGGAATTTCATCTACTACAACAAACGCTGTGCATCTTTTATCAGAATTTCCCTCCTTATGACATTTAAAAAAAAAAAGTCAACCAAAGTCAAAAGCCACATTAACACAAAACATTGAACCCAGTGGAAAGTTGTCATATAAATTAGCTGGTCAGCAGGAAATGCCAATTATCCAAAAGGCCATTAAGAAAATAGGATGGCAAGAATGCTCTGGTAAAACCATTTATGTAACTGTATTGAGATTAGAAAAACAAACAGCAGCATTATCTGCCTCCAGAATCAGATACAAATCAAGCCAAGTATTCAACCAAAATGGCAACAAATAGTAAGGATAAACCTGGGAAAGGAGCGTGTACTATTACGAATTTTCAAATTTATCTAAACTGTCAAATATAAACCCCTTCCCCTCAGAAATCAAAGGTAAAGGTATTGTAATATAGAACTTCACATTTTTATAAAATAAAAATAGAAATTATTGCTATATGGTTGTAAAAATGGAGGCAAGAGTTCAGAAATATACTTGTTTATAATCAATTAAATGATGAGCCATAATTTGAACCCTAATTATCACATTATGTAGAAATCACAATCCAGGTATTGTGTCCTCAGTTATTAAGATATATGTTAAATAGTTCACATTTTAAAAACATTTTAGCATTACATTACCAAATTTGATAAAATCTTATCAAAACATCTATGTATTCAATATAAATCATATTGTTAAAAGTATAAACATTTAAAGAAAACTGCTGAGGTGCCAAATAAGTATTTTCTATTAAATATACACAAATTAACATTTAGAACTACATAAATTAATTCTTGCTAAAAGTTGATTCAGGTTTACAAAGGCATACTTTGTGAACTATAATAAATTTCCCCAGCACCACTTTCTTTTTTTTTTATTCCAAAATTATTTCATTAGGTTTAACTTTCTTCTGTCATTCATAAGTAAAAGTTACAGAAGGTTTACAATACGTAGTCTTAATAGTAACATGTTTTTAAAAAAATCTAAGCAAAGTGCACATTAAACTAGCTACAACTACTCAAACTTCTTATCATCAAATAAAAAATAGAACACTTCATTCACTTAAGTCTTTCTGAGGAAAAAAAATAGTATACCTTGCTTAAATAAGAATTCCCCAGTAAGGATATTATATAAAAGATTTCCCATGTATTTTATTAAGTTTACTTTCTCTCATTAAAACTTTTTTTAAAAAGTCTAATGAAGAACACATACTTACAATGCCATATTACACAACTACAGTACTGTTAATTAAATAAAGCAGCCCAGTATAGCTGTAAACATTTTAAATGTAGTAAACAAGACTTGGCATGTCTTTCCTCCCTAAAACTTGCCATTACAATGCTCTTTCCAGGGAAATTATTCTTCCTGGATAAGTTTCGGGTATATTTTAGTCTTTAAAAATATTACACTGAAATAATGTGTGAAAAGATTTAGGCATGGCAATTTCACTGAAGCTTTTATTGCCTCTGTTGTAATATGACAGGGATTGTAAGGAACACAATTGAACTTACAGAGATATGCCGGTGATAGTCACTGAAGATAATCTTGATCTCAAGTATTTTTATATGTGGGCACTTCTAATTTTATACACTTTAGTATTTTAAAAGCATTATATTTTAAAATGTGTACCTGTTTTGACATTTGGCAAAGAAGAAACTGTACCTGTGGTTCAGTTAAAAACAAAGAATCAGCATGGGGAGTTTACCAGAATGAAAATGGAAACACTAATGAATTAAAGCAATTCAAGTGCGTGCATGCGTGCGTCTTTCAACCTCTTTCTCACAGACATGCACTCACATGCATGCACTCACACACACAACCATACGTGTAAGCATTTTTAGTACAGAATATTCCCTGTAACCAGACATTTATCCTCAGAGTAATCATACCACATTAAATCAGTCTTCTCTTTTCAGCCCTAGAAATAATATTGTTTAATTCTAAGATGCCATCATAGAGTGAACAACCTTAACTTTTATGCTACATAATTATATTCAAAGATTATGTATTTTTGTTTATAATTACACAGTAATTATAAATGTTTAGTACCAAACTGATGACAAATACTATTTTGTTGAAAAGGTCTTACATTTAAAAGGAAAAGTCTGTAAAACCCCAAGGCACTAGGCCATGAACCAATATCAGACTTTTATGAAAAACAATTTATAACAGGGGGAAAAAACGAATGGGATCTCATTTCAAGACACCGCATACTTGAATTAATCTATCTGAAAACAATACCATAACTCAAAATCTTCAAGACAGGAAACAAAATAATACATATATCTTTTAAATTTTTTCATAATTGAAGTTCCTCTTTATATTTACAAATATGAAATCAGGAAATACTTGAAAGGGAAGCAGCAGGATTCTTTTTTCTTCCTTTTTTTTTTTTTTTTTCAAATAACCAATTCCAGTAACCTGAATAGAAATTTTCAAATTTTTCTTTTGGAAGAATATGATTGGAATATTAATATAAGATCTGTGGGAAACCTTCCTAGTCAACTTCAAAATTATGTAAATAAAAAGTGGTCTTAATATGTCATTGTTCTTAAAACCATTTCCACATCTAAAACGTACTGCTAATCTGAAGTACATTCCTTTGATAATTTCAACATTAGATCTTAGAGAGTGCATGGATACACCAAGCAAAACCTATTCCTGTTAAAGTCCATAGGCATCCAACATTTGAAGTTTTACATTTTTTAACCTACCTTACAGAAATCTTTTAAAAAGCAATAAATCCTCCTTCATGTGTTAGGAAGTGAACAGGAAAATCAGCATTTTCAGCATAAAAGCAGTTCATAGATCTTGTAATGAATATAATACATACAAGATAGAATTCTGCTTTGACGTGAAAACATCAAATTTGAGTGAAACAAAAACAGTAGAGACTGAATAATTTACAAAAATAGAAGCCAGATTGGTATTTTGCATCAAGTGCATGCTTGCTTGAAAATCTTTGCTCCTGAAGTATTTGGCAACCACAGTGATTAGCAGTTAAAGCAGTTTCAACAAAATAAGGTCATCAAAAATGGACTATTTGTCTGAAAAAGCAGTACCTATGAGGATTGAACGTCATGGCTCATTCACAACCATTTTCAAAATTTAATTCCTACTATCTTCTTATAAATTAAGAAAATTTCATTTTTGTTCCATGGTGTGCTAAAAAAATAAAATAAACCCTCATGCCTAAATTTAGAATATTGTATTGTGTAGCAATCTAAAACATTCAAAACAAATTAAATAGTTTAACTTATTCAACAGGCATATAAGCATTTCAAAATCATAATGAAATCCAATTATGTGCTGCAGAATGTAGACAGTAGAATCTAACATTATGCAGACATTTTCTAAATAAAAGCTCCCTGTAGGACAACTATATATAAACATAGGTAAGATAAGGAGAGTAGGTCTGTGGGACCTTTTGAAATCGAGGGTCTGAAACACAATAAATTTTTCAGGTAGGCACAAGAAGTTATCCTAAAAAATTTTCACGTTGGTTATTTTGACATTTTTTTCATCAGATTCTCTACTCACATCAACAATACAAGTGATTTTCCAGGAAAAAAAAATCCCCCAAACCAAAACACCATTCCAGATCTGGTACACTTAAATATATCACTCTCATTGGAAGTGCTATTAGCATAGTCTTTGCAACTAGCCCAAAGCATATATTTAAGAAGTTTTTATAAATTGTTTGTGATGTTCATGTTTAATTCTTATGCCAAACTGTTTTCTGATGAAGACAGCATTGTGCTTTATGCAAGAATGGAAACCTCAAAATAATCACCATAAAGCTTCTAAGACTTATGGGAGAATAAACTAGGATGGTCCACAGATATAAGATGAAATCCACAATGTAGAATTATAAATGGTTAGAGCGGCCCAGACTAGAAGACAAGCCCAAACCACCATTAGAAGAATGAAATACGATATGGTCCAAGATGTATCCTTAAAGTTTTGTCTCAACCCTCAGTCTGAATTAGGAGGATTGATCTTCAGTTCAGTCCAGCCAGCAGAAATTGACTGTGCAATTTTCCGTTGTATTTATTGTACAGACTATGTACATTCTAGAAGGTTCCTTTAGTGCTACACTGTTGTACTTTTTGTCCCAGCAATTTGAGGGCGTGCAAATTCCACAAAGTCATCAATAAGAACAGGCCATGCTCCTAGGGGGAAAAATATATGGGAGGAAGGAAAGAAAGAAAAGCAGGAATAAGACTAACATTTTAATAGGTTCCTTTATATTTTAACTACCTTCCACATAATAAAGTATCATTATAAATATTCCCATTGATAGGACTTTCAAAATTCAAGCATTATAGAGTTTCTACCTAAAGTTTTCTTGTATTCTCTCTGCTCTATTATTCTAACACTTGGTCATTTTTCGAGTGATAAGAATAACTCTTCTGGTAATCTATCAATAATACGGTTTGCCTGGCCAGAGTGGCTCAGTGGTTGAGCGTCGACCTAGGAACCAGGTCATGGTTCAATTCCTGGTCAGGGAACATGCCCAGGTTTCGGGCTCCATCCCCAGTGTGGGGCATGCAGGAGGCAACCGATCAATGATTCTCTCTCATCTATCTCTCTCTCTCCCCCTCACCCTTTCTTCCTTCCTAAAATCAATAAAAATATTTTTAAAATAATAATAATAATATGGTTTTCTGAAAGCCACTGAAGTCAGGCCACTGCAGTAATTTGGTCAAAACTGGCAACCTAGGAATGACCATAATATACTGGCATGCTGCCAGTGCTGAAAGCATAGTGGGTAGGAGGAAACAAATTTTCAGGCATTTTTTGGAAATCTTACAAAAAAATCTTAAGAAAATTAACAGCAAGTATCCAAATCTATCTTTTTCATGATAAATACTAAAAAATTTTAAACTGCACGCCTCTATACATTCACATGCCAACCTCTAAATCAGAAAGTTTTCAGTTTCCTGTAAAGCCTAGCAGCACAATTATCATTCATATGCAAGATTAGGCTTTTCTTACTTTTTAGTGAAGACTATAAATTACAATGAAAAGAGAGAATAAAGACCATCTCTGGTTAGATTATATGAATGGCTCCAAGACACTTTCAAGGAGGCCAAGGTCACTGGAGATTTCTCAAAGAACACCTCTGTCTGTTCAACAATCTCAAAAACAGATCCAGCTAATTTTCAAGGGGGACTCGGTATGTATGAAGAAGTCAATGTAAATCACTGCCACTTCTAGATAAACAGGTAGTAGATGGTAGCATCATCATCTTTACATGAAGAAATAACAGAAAAGCATTTAATCAGTGGATATTTATTGAATGCCAATAGTACTATAGTAGGCAGCTGAAGTACATTTCAAATTAGACAAAGTCACTAACCTTAAGGAGTTTAATATTCCAAGTTCAGAGATAAGACAAACACATAATAAATAAAAGATATACATATAAGTATAAAAGTACTTTCCTAAGAGAACAGGTTTCCTAAAATAAACTGAAAATCTCTAAACATGAATGAAAATTACTCATGCCTTTCTGGAAGACATGACTACTAAGTTGGTATTTAAAGAAACTATAGATTGATAAAGAAATGAAGGCATTCCATACATTTAGAAGAGCACAAATAAAAGCTCAGAAGAGGGAAATCCAACTCCAAGAAAAACAGAAGTAGACAAGAAGTTCAAAGTATATGATAAAAGAAGGCAGGTAAAAACAAAAAACTGGAAGGGCAAAACTTTTTATTACCTTCCTCATCATAATTAGACATGTCATCTGCAATCATTGTACTGAAGTCTAGAAGAAGATTCCAAGTATCTTTTGGTATGGATCGTTTATGATGTTCCTATTTAAAAAAAAATCCAAATCACTAAAAAGAGTTTTTTTTTTAAGTCCAGATGATACTAAATACAAGAATGCAAACCAATTTGTGTATAGAAATTTTACTAATCAAATTTCTCATTCTATGTTCATTACATGCTCTGATAAGAGTCAATCATGCTTTAAAATATTTATTTTCAAACAAAACAAAATTTTAGAGAAAACAAGGAACTGCAGAAAACATGAACTTACCAACAAAAATTTATTCCATAAGTCTAAGAATTTAAATCTTCCATTAAGCACTAAATTCCAGTAGGCAATGGCCATTTCTAGATCTGTAATATTAAAAATAAATTATGTCAAATGCCATGAATATTTGTCCTTAAAAACAAAAAACAGGTGAGACCAAAGACAGACTTAAAAAAAAAAAAAAAAAAACACCTAAAAGAAAACACTAACCCTTGTGTTCTGAATACTTACTTATTAAAATTCCCTAAAAGAAATAAGCCCAAGGTTTGTATCCTGGGCACCAATGGACAGTCCATCGGGGCAAGAAGAATACCACTTACCTCAAAGGGTGTATCTGAAGTTTCAATTAGATAATGTAATAAGCATGCCTGACTAGTTCATCAGTACTCAAATGTTAATGCATACCAGTATTTCCCAACCTCAGCACTTTTGACATTTTGAGCCAGATAATTTTTTGTTGTGGAGGGATGCCCCATGAATTGTAGCAATAGCAGCATCCCTGGTGTCTAACCACCAGATGACAGTATCAGCTCCATCCTATCCCTGGTGGTGACGACCAAAGATGTCTCCAGACATTGTCAAAGGTCCCCTGAGAGAAAAAATTGCCCCTAGTTGAGAACCACTGACATACACCTACAGTTGTAATGCAAAGAATTTCTATATACAATCCTAACCAATTTTCCAAGATGTTAGCTCTCTGATCCTGTCCTAGAGGAGACTATTAATTTTTATTTAAAAATTAAAATTAATAAACTAAGATTTGTTTTAAAAATTTGATGAAATTATATAATGCCCATTTAATTATGATTGTAGCAGAAAAGGGTAAAGAAGCAATACTGCCACATGACAAAGACCTATTCCTGTCATATGACAGAGAGAAAGACCCATCATTTCTTTCAAGGAACTAAAGCAGTTAAAGTACCAAGCTTTAATGAGTAAATTTACATTTCCAGCTCAGGAAAAATTTCATCCTAAGTAACTTAACACAATGCGGGCAGATCATGAGCATTCTCATGTTTTCCTATTACACAGTGTTTTACATAAATGTTAAAGGCATGCCTTAAAATTAAACACCCATTGCATTTTGAAGTTATTTATTACATGTTCTTACAAGCTAATATCTTTTTAAAGTATGATATTTTGTAAAATGTTTTTTGTATTCGTTCAATAGAAACTTATCTGGCCTCTGGGTAAAGCTAGCAATAAAACTACTGGTGCACAATGTGTTAAAAGTCCTTTTAGATATTATCTCCAAAACACTCTTGATAATCTGGGGAATCATGAGAGACTAGGAAGGACTCCAAAAAGGCTCACATCCTATCTTAAAGGAAAATATAAAAAGGCCATAAGGAGAAAAAAAATCCCATCTTCATAGGATCTCAACCACTTCAAGGACAGGGACTACATATACGCAAACTGGCAGACTGAAACACACAGCAATTATTGAGAAACTGCTGAATGAATGCCACTTCCTATGGTCCCACGTGCAAATGTACTTACCTTCCTTTAAACTCAATGGAGTTTTTTCCTCCTATCCAAAGATAAGCCCCTAGCACCACTATTCTGGATCCAGTACCACCCTGCCTCTTCAAGGAATCTTGTCTACTGTCTTTTAATTTTCCTCCCTTCCTACATCTTCAACTTTGCCTTCTTCTGGCTTTCCCCCTCAGGTTATCAGCTATGTTTAAAAAGTATTTCTTGGGTCTTTCATTACCTTACTAGCTATGCTCTTTCTCCTTCCCTTCACAGATAATCTCCTACTGTTATACGTAATGTGTTCCTAAAACATGTCTGAAAGTCAAACTCAGGTCCCCATGTTTTAAGAGAACTAGAAATATGACACCACCAATTCCCATCATAATTCCTTTTTAATCTTTGTAGTCTGTAAAGCTCTATACCCAAAATTCCTTCCAGGTTCTTTCATTTTGTCCTTTTCTTTACCAACCAATTGTCAAGCTTTAAGTGCAGTTAAAAGTAAAACTGCTGTTATTAGCAAGCAGAACAAGATCTGCTGTTATTAATATGCTTAATAATTTTCTTCTGCACTTCAAATGCATTAAATGTATAAGAACTAAGCTCATTAGTGTTACATTTTTTCTTTTAAACTAATTTTAACAAAATAAGAATGAGAAACAATGAAATATTCAAATAACTGCAAAACATGAGACACCTATAAATGCCCATTTGTCAGCTAATACCTAAGACTCTGACAAGAATAGGAGTGTACATGTCTGATGTTTGAAAGTTCAGGTTGTAAAAGAGAACTTTTTGTCATCTACAGTCATTACCCCATTTCCTCACCTCCCACACACTATTTAATTGTATAAACCAGTCTCTACCTCTGCAACTCACTCCACTAAAAGTGATCTCTGGAGGGTTACCACACCCTTTTGGTTCCCAAGTAAACACTTTTATGTCCTTAATTTACTTCGCCCTCTGCAATATTTGACAGAACAAGAGCACACCTCCTAGATGGAACTTCTTTCAGCTTTAATGGTAGCACCTTACTGACTTTCCTCTGTCCTCTCTAGCCTTCTTACTCCTTTTTACAGGCTCCTTTTCCTCCATTCATCCATGAAATGTCGGTGTTCTGTAACACTTTATGTCAGCAATAACCATTTCTACTTCCCTCGGATTTTTCAAACCTTTACCTTTTTTCACACTAATAACTCCTAAATCTGAAACTTCTATCTCTATTTTTCTAGATTCATATATCTAATTGCCTAAGCAGCAGTTCTCAACCTGTGGGTCACGACCATCGGAAAACACATATAGCATATCAGATATTTACATTACGATTCATAACAGTAGCAAAATTACAGTTATGAAGGAGCAACGAAAATAATTTTACGGTTGGGGGTCACCACAACATGAGGAACTGTATTAAAGGGTCGCGGCATTAGGAAGGTTGAGAACCACTGGCTAAGGACATCTTCAAATGGTAGCCACAAAAAAACTCAAATTCAATAGGGCTCAGACTGAACTCATTATCTCACCTCTACAGACCTGCTATTCCATTTCTCTTAATAAATAGCATCACCCTACAGTGTTTCTCAATGAAACGTCTCATTCTAAGGAACTGTCCTATGTACTGCAGGACATTTAGCATCCCCCTAATGTCAGCAGAAACCCTCAGTCATTATGACACCCAATAGACATCCCCCACGTTTCCAAATATCCCTTAAGTGTGTTGAGAAATGTAGGGAAACCCCTCTCTTCTTCATTACATACTTCCAATTGAAGCTCTCTCGTTCTAACTTCTCCATCTCCACTGGCAGGCCTATACTAGGGTCATCTTCATGTCTAGCTAAATCACTGCAACAGCTTCATAACCAGTCTCTTCCTCTAGTTCTGCCCTTACGCCTTTTAAAGGATCAACAGTGCTTTCAAATGAAGCTTTCAGGCATATTAATTTGGTGTCACTTCCATGTTAAATTCTTCAATGATTAAAACAACAAGATACCACTACACACCTTTTGGAATGGCCAAACTCCCAAACACTGATAACACCAAATGCTGGCGAAGGTTTGGAGAAACAGGAACTCTCATTCATTGCTGATGGGAATGCAAAATGGTACAGCCACTTTGGAAGACAGTTTGGCAGTTTCTTATAAAACTAAATATATGCTTACCATAAGATCCAGCAATCACACTCTGTGGTATCTACCCAAACGAAGTGAAAACTTATGTCTACACAAACACCTGCCCGTAGATGTTTACAATAGCTTTATTCCTGCCAAAACTTGGAGGCAACCAGGATGTCCTTTAGAAGGTGAATAGATATATTGACTGTGGTACATCCAGATGAAGGAATATTATTCAGTGCTAACATAAAATGAGCTATTAAGCCATGAAAAGACATGGAGAAAAATACATATTAATATTACTAAGTGAAAGAAGTCAACCTGAAAAGGCTACATACTGTATAATTCCAACTGTATGACATTCTGGAAAAGGCAAGCTATGGAGACAGTAAAAAGATCAGTGGTTGCCAGAGATTAGGATGGAGGAAAGGATGAGTAGGCAGAGCAGAGAGGATTTTTAGGGCATGATGCTATAATGGTGGATATAAGTCATTACATATTTGTCCAAACCCACAAAATGTACAACACCAAGAATGAACCTTAATGTAAACTTGAACTTTGGGTGATAATGCTTGGGGGTGGAGGGGAGAGGGTTAATAATGGGAGAAACTAAGCATGTGTGAAAGGGGGTATATGGGAAATCTCTGTACTTTCTGCTCAATTTTGCTGTAAGCCTAAAACAGCTCAAAAATTTTTATTGAAAAACTAGAGGCCTGGTGCACAAATTTGTGCACAGGTGGGGTCCCTCAGGGTGGCCTGCGGGGATCAGCCCCCAGCTCCCGTCCCCAGGCTCGCCGCCCCAGCTCGAGCCCCCAGCCTCACAGCCCCAAAGCCCCACTTGGCACCCCGCCATGGCCTGGTGCCGCCTGCTCACCTGCTCCACCATCCCACCACGGTCCTGCTCTCATCAGAGTCCATCGGGCTGGCAGCACCTCCACTGCCACCCGCTGCCAGCACCATGTTGCTGAAGCCCACCATGTTCTGCATTGCCCCTGGTGGTCAGTGCACATCATAGCAAGCTGTCGAACTCCAGAGGGGACAATTTGCATAGTAGGCTTTTATTATATAGGATGTTTACAATGATTTCATTTTCTATTGCCTTCAGATAAGATCTACATCTCTAGTCAAATGAACTTACTAGCAGTTTAACTCTCAAAGGTGCTCCATCTCTCTCCATATTAGAGATGACTTCTTTTTCTTTTGTCCTTGAAACTGTGTAATTCAATCTTTGAGAGACTTTGCAAACTCACCCAAACAGACAGACTTAAGATGCTCCTGACACCATGCTCTCAGAGTTAAGCAGTCAATAAATGTTGAATGAAAAAGGAATACTCAAAAAGAAGTTAAAATTAAGAGTTGAAACAGGGATAAAATTAAATTGAACAGAGATAAAATGTTAACTGCCACAAGCACAAGAAAAAGTGTCTTTAGACAGAAATGTTTGAGTGACAGAGAGAATAGCCTAACTAGAGAGAAGTGCTTTAACATAGTTTCAGCCTCTT